TCCAATCAGGCGGATGGGTCTTTTTTTGATGGAATCCAGCAGCTTCAGGGTATGCTTAGGGGCGGAGCTGCATATATGTGAACAATACTCCAAAGGAGGTCTGATTTCTCATTTACTTAAAAAAGCCAGGTGGCTGAAAATGTACGGTAGGCGGACTCTTCATTCTTCGACCTCTACAACAAAATAACTTAGCGAACTGATGTTCATCAGGCGCAAAATGATCCATGTTGTTAGACACTCCATAAAACTATTCAAAAAGTCTTTTACTTATACAGCTGCATTCTATAACAACCTGTTTCTAGTTTCAGGTACTGCCTGAAAAAACATCTTCTGAAAAACCAATAATACATGAATATCTTCTACAACACATAGGCTCTTGTAGGCCATAGCTAAAATATTTGTAGTATTCTTATGTTTGCATGGAGATCCGCCTCATCTCCCCTCTTTATTCGAATTAAATGTTGTACCCGCTATCACAATTACAATTTTAGATCCTTTGTTATTTTTTTTTAGTTTTTTATCTTTTCCATCATTTTTTTGTAAGGTGCAAGAGGAAGAATGCACTCTGTTCAATCTTATATCCTGTTGACAACTTTGTATTTTGTTTTTCTCCATATTTTATCATGTTATTTTTGCTGTCAATCAATTCATTTATTATTATTATTATCTGAGGTTCATAAAGCTGTAGTTTGTACAGTTTTCTGGTTCGGAGTTCCAAGCTTTTGAGAAGCAGACTTTGCGATTCCAGCGACATGATTGTGCCAAGACCGTATGTCACCCTTATTTGGAATTGTTACTGTTTGAATTCCTGGTCTAATATATATTAGTTGCTAAGATAAAATAACAAATAAAGTTTTGTTTTTGACTCTCTGAAAGCCGAATTATCAAAAATCGGTCATTCGGCCCGATATAAAGAAATGTTATTGTTTTATGCATATTAGTTGTGATGTTAATATGACGTTTGTTTACCATACTCAAAATTACCATATGTACGTATGGGTAAAAATGAACTACTGTTTATGGCGTGTTTAAATAGAGCTCGTGATTTGTTCGTGAGACATTTCTGCTTACTCCATTTTCCGGGCGAACATCTTGTTTCAGAAAGAGCAAGCAATACTGCAACAATAGAGATTTTAATGAAAACACACGATACAGTCGTTCATAGAAGTGACAATAAACGAACAGACCTGTCACAAGATATATACTATGTAACCACCGACCTGAATACGAAATCCCCAGTAACAGATAAACGAGACGAGTATTTCACACAATGGCTTTCGAATCGGAATATTGCGGCCCACAATAGTCACATATTTATCGACCCGAAGAATAGAAAGATATCTAGAAGGGAACTGGTGCTAACAGAATAGATACAATCCTCACCATTGTCGATGGAAGCGGATGTAAATTTGAGAGCGAGACACGCGAACAAATTGTCGAAATTTTGAATTATCTGTGAAGTGGGTCGGAATTTATGAATTGTGACATGTCTGATACCGCCTTAATATACTCATTGTTTGTCGTCACATTCTTATAGTGTTTCGAAGGAAAAAATCTAGAGGAGTCAAATCCGGTAAACGAGCAGGCCATTCGGCTAGACCACCCCAACCAATCCCTTGTAGGCCTTAAAATATAAGGTCGTACTATCTTGTTGGAAAACAGTTGGATTTTTGAATTTATCTAGATTGTTAGCCATGATTCATTGAATCCGTGAGTGAATTACGTTTCAAAGAGTTCCCAAATGTAAATCGCCTGTCAGATTTTCCTCTCGATATGTGATTTCCAATTTTCCTGCGCAAGCATTCATTCTCTCAGGAGTTTGAGTGTGACTTTCTCGAAAAATATGTGGTATTATGTCTGATCTACAACGCATATTCTATCGGTTGACATTTCCTTTAAGAAAAAATTGCATTCGGCACTGAAACAAATACCTATAGTGTGCCTGAGATATCATTGAATTTTTTCATTCATTTGAAAAACAGTTATATTATCGACTTCCTCCAAGTAACTGGCAGGTGGCAATGGAAAAAATTAACAGTGACCTACAAAAGTTACTGGATCTATCTATAGTCCATTACCTGAATTTGAATTCTAAAAAATCTCAGCTGATAATTTTTGGCCTGAAACACAAAAGGTGGGAAATTGAAGGAAGAATTGAAAGCAAACTTGGACAAGACTTAATACAAATAATTGCAGAAAGCAAGAACTTGCGTTTGTGGCTAGATGCTGATCTGAGACTTCACAAACATATAAATTCACTTTGTCGTAGCTCATACAGTATGTTATGTCAACTCTAGAGATATTATGACTTCCAAATTGAAGTTGAAACTTTACGGAACCCTCATATTGTCTAGATTAGCATATTGCGATATAATCCACGGGCCTGCTTTGATATAATTTGATGTAAATCACTTACAAAAAATACTAAACAATTGCATTCGTCTTTTTTATAGTGTGAGAAAATTCGACCATATATCCCCCAAGTTCGAGGAGTCAGGTTGGTTACCGATTGCTAAAACCTGACAGTTCCACCTACTTGTCAATACACATAAATTCCTCATTTACAGAAAGCCAAATTATATTTATGAAAGCTATAAAACTTTCAAATTTCAGAATAATTCGAGGACACGAAACCGTCACACTTTTATTATTCCAAAACAATCGATACCCTGCTTTTCTCGTAGTTTTCTTTACAACTCTATCAAACAATATAACACTACTCGACGCGAAATCGACTGCCTTGGATTCTCCTGAACACTCTCATAGACAGCGGCGATGTTTTCAGCAGATCTTACGTTTCGTCGATGTACAGGTGTTGGTTGATCGTTCACTGTTGTTGACAGACATATTCAGATAATGGAGCTGGAATTTAACGGTGGTTTTTGAGATATCATTCTCATTGGCAACTGTTGTGTGGACTGAGATAAACTGAGGTCCAAACTTTTACCTCTTACAAATAAACTTGATGTGCTTGTAGATTTTTGCGAAATGTTCTTTTCCCACACTGTCGAACGTTTTTGATGGTATTTTCTAGAAAAGTTTCATTTCCTATTCTGAGTCCTGCGGACTGAGAACAAACCAACAATAACATTCGAAAGTAAAGAAACTGCCGTCTCTCCTTCCGAGTGAATCCATTAGTGCCCCCATTCCGGACCCCCGTAGAGCGTTCGAAGAACCTCCTTCGACCGATAATTAACATTTCCTACTGTTCGTCTTCACTATTTATAGAATGCCTGCATGTAATATCTACAAGGGTCGTATATCACAAAGAGCGCCCTTGGGCGCTTTCCTTCCCACAGTGACCTTCAGTGAATGCTGCACGAACAGTCAGACTCGCCAAATAATATACAGCTTGTAGCATTAATTCATTAAATTGTTGCAGAAATACCTTAAATTGTTGTGCGTCGCAATTCACGCCAGCTTGATGGATTGATATTTCTCTGAGTGCTGCAAATTTAGATGTGAACATAGAAAGACGTGCTGTTTCATAAGGAGTTCCCTCATAGCTGGAGTAATTAGTTTGTTGCAAAAGTTTTCTCCATTTTTATGAGTCTAGTTTGAACTCGCGTTGAATTCAATTTAACAGAAATAGACGTCATTTGAACCAATGCACTTTTGCCAACTTAACACAAGTCGACCAATTCCGTCAGCATGAAAGTTGGATGCCCGGGGTCCGATTTATTCATATCAATTCTTGATTCGTTTGTCTTCTCTATTCTCCAAATGTCTTTTTTATACCTCCAAAAATGTTTCGTAATATTTTTCTTTGCCAAATCGTCCTCTTTCTTTCCTTCTTCTGATTCAACATCCAAGTTTCGCATGCGTGGAGTATTTTTGATATAATAATTGTTTCATATGCTTCGAATTTGGCTGACCTTGACACATCTTTTGCGTGCGAAGGTTTCTTTAACAATCCCATTGCTTTGCTACCTTTCAGAAGACTTTTATCTTTTTCTCTTTCCATCCTCTCTGGTTATTACCATTTAGACGGATACGATAATAATCCTCATCAAATTGAATACCTTAGTTATCTTGAGCATTTCATGTACTTTATAATTGTGTTTTACATCATCAATTTCACAAATCAATATCTAAGGATTTATCGCAAAATTGGAACTATCACGCAAGAAAATAAATTATAGCGGTGTCACAAAATGATGCAGCACGCATAATGAAAAAAGTTGCAATTGCGTTGATTTTATTTTGTGATCACACTTTCTTTAAGGTGATTTTATCAGAGGTCATAATCTTTATTTACAAACTGATGTGAAGCTATGACAAAACAACTGTAGCCATCCAGTCTTCAGCACAGAGAATGGCCATTACGAATAAAAAAGGATGCCATTTGGGCTCAAAAACGCTCCGTCGACGTTTCAACGTGTCATGGATAACATCCTCAGAGGTATAAAGAACGATAAATGTCTTGTGTATCTCGACATCACCATTTTTCCACATCCCTGTAGGAATATCTGGAACATCTCAGAGAAGTTTTCGAACGACGTCCATAACAGGCCTTTGTCTACGTCGATCACATAAACTACTTATTTTTTAGCTATCGAGATATGGTGATACGAGTGTACCCTTAAGAGTTTTTTTAGGCAATCGAAAGAACATTGTTAGACTAAATTATTCATACTCGAGAACCTTAAACATGCTTCAAAGTGTTCCATATTAGCATTAAGTCAGTTCATTCAAAATCTAGTCATGCTTTTGGAACTCATTTCCTTGTAGTTATTTGTTTTGCACTCACCATACGAATATATACTGATCGAATTTCTACGACACCTCCATTTAATAACGTGAAAACTTCTATGAAATTCTGAATGGACAAAACATACCAGGAAATGTATAAAATAATAATAAGCACTGGGATTCAGTAGAATGAAAAAAAAAGTTTTTCGATATGACAAATTTTCTCAAAATATTTTTTGTTTAATTCGTATTTTTACTTATATGTTATTTCAAGTGGTTGTCAAGTTTTCACAATAAAAAATCCTTACCTTTGGTATTTTAGCATATCGGCCAGTTCTTGTATCTCGAATGATTGCAATATCCAGTAGATCCATTTCATGGTTCTGGTCGACCCAGTAAAGGTAGAATCCATGCGGATCTACCCTCAGTGTTACTGGAGTACCCACACCAGAATCCTGAAAAAAAAAGAAATTTGTTGTGAAGGTACTGGATTTGTTTCTATGATCATTGAGAACAGCATCAATTTTGTGACCATTTATTGTTGGGTGAGTTAGCAATGATCTCATAACTCACACTTTCGAACCAATCACAGTTGGCAAGATTCATAATTTACTACCTTCTGGACCAATCACAGTTGGCCAGATTTATAACTCATGCCTTCGGAACCAGTCACAGATCAATTATTTTCAATCGCGAGTAACTTTGAGAATTTACCTACTTCAAAATATGTTCTAGATTCCAAACTTAATCATTGAAATGACAGTTCATTTTGAACTACAAGGTTGTTTCCTAACTGAGGGGCAAATCTTCATATGGCGATTTTTAAGAAAAATACTTCATATGAACATATGTCTGGGGATGATTCGTTTCTGAGATACCGGGTGTTGAAGATGAAAAATATTTGGAAAATATCAAAAATATTCCCAAACCGGTTTTGCTGAAATTGGTACAGTTATTTGTTCGGATGTGCTTCGTTTCTGAGATACATTCAAAAATATCTGGAGTATTCCCTATGATTCAGCAATTGTCGATTATTAGATTCCTCAAGTCATTCATATCTAGCATAGAAGTTTTATAAACAAGAGCATTCATATCAGGAATGCGAGCTGGACAATTTTGAGGTCTTGCACGTCCAATCCAGCAAATGTGATACATGACATTTGAAGAAGAAAAACCTTTAACAGCAGAAAATTTATAGCTTATATTGAGCGCTTCAACAACAAATTTTCAACCCCTTCATTTGATAAATGATATAAATTATCTCTGAAAATGAAGACTCGGGTAGAAAAAAAAATTACTTTTCTGTTGATTTTATCTCGAAAACGTTATAATTAGTAACAAATATCTCATTCCCTTCAGCTCGGTTGACAACATATGACGGAATCACCTCTTCTGATCAACTATAACATAGTTACGCATCTAGTGAGCTGATCAATTTAATGATATTAATGTACATATTGATCAGAGGGGATATTTCATCGATACCACACTTGATTGGGATGAAAGTTCATTACGGTTTCCCGTGTACTAATACAGTATAATCGGCGAGTAGATTGGATGATTAGTTTCTCACGTGAACTGATATCGAAATAGTCTGCATTTACAAAGATTGGAAATGCACACGCCCTCATTACAACCGAAGGGGATGCACAAATACATATATTTCCTGTGGATGGCGATACACACAGAAAATGCACCAGATGACAGTGTCGAACACATGCAGACCTTGTCAAGTTTGTATGCCATGCATGCACGTACTGCTAAATTTGCCATTGTTGCTGAATAATAAAAAAAGCTCGGCTTTGACAATGAGTTGAAAGAATTTATCTTGAAAATTTAAAAGTTTCAAGTAACAAAGATCTGAGAGGTTTCCAATATTTTATTACGTTTACCGGCGGGTTAGTTGACTTCCAGATTAAACGAAGTTATATATTTTTTCGTTTAAATACGGTCGGTTTAGTTACCAACTCGAAACATTCAACAGGGCCGTCGATCAAAGATGTTATCACCGATAAAATAAAAGATTTCTAATCAAAATGGGCGCCAAGTGATTTGGCCAGCTTTTATTACAAAAAAATCACTAAAATATACAAGAGATAACTACAAGATTCAAGCATAAACTAATACCCAGGGTGTTAGCTAATATATGGACACTAAAAGAAAAAAACAATCACGATAAAGAAAAACGTAAAGGTGATGCAAGAATTTCGGTTGGAAGAATTGAATGTGAACATGCAACACATCCATCATTCAATTCTTCTCAACTATGAATAAGGTTTCTAGTATAATGTGAAATATAGGCATCGGTTTGTCCTCAATTAATTAAATTCACCCCAAAATGCTCTTTCAATTCTCATGTTTATTGCTTCCGTAACGATTCGGCAATTCTACTATAAAATTCCTCTGCATATTGTAACGAATCTGAATCCGGCCCTGACCGTTATCTCAGCCAGCAAACACATGACTCATCGCGAACCGTTGCGAAAAGAATAGGCGAGTACAGAGATCTCTAGATAAATCTAGAACGATCGTTACCGTTATGTAAGCCCTGCTTCCCGTCCATAGAGGGAGTCTGTACAGTGAAGATAAATTAAGTTGGTGAGTGTTGTATATGAATTAGTTGTGACAGTGAAATATTGTTGAAAATAAATTTGTTTAAGACAGTTAATTCTTTAATTCGTTACAATATAATCACCAGGTGAAAATGTGTAGCACTACAAATCTCTAAGTAAGTAGTCGCAATACTTCAAGAAGTAAAACAGGCTGAAACTTCCGTCTGGACACGAAAATCAATCAATGATAGTAATAAACATTTACTAGGCAGGAATTGCTATCTAATATACGTCGTTTCGAATCCACAACGAGTCCAAGGTTTTTGTAGCGCAGAAAAGAAATTTATGGAGAAGTGACTACTTTTATAGGGTGTTACATGAAATATATTCGAAAATCCTTTCTTAGGCTCATCAATTGAAAAAAAAACGAGAGTATTTTTCATTCATTTGGATTTTCATATGAGTATATGAACAATAAAGCATTTGTCAATAAATCCGTCGAACTTTTATCTTTGATGACTGTTCTATAAGGAGAAATTTCCGCATTCAGAAATGTAATCTAAATGCGGAAAACAAAATACGGCACTAATTCGAACGAATTTGTAGAGAGAGACTTTCAATTGAAATTTTCGCCGGGTTATTAGTATCTGACAAAAACTTTGTTTATTATCGAAGCTTTCCAGATGTTCGTGAAACACTTGGGAAATTCAACGTTCCGCGAACGTAATGAGAAATTAAATTTAACGATATTGAATTATTAGGTGCTATTCTGCTCAATATTTTATATTTGTTTACCAATCGACGAAAATAGAACAATAGACACGTCACGATTGAGTTTTAATGATAAATCTGAGTGCGTTTGATATCGTATGTAACCCGAAACTTTCCAAACACCATATCAAATAATTCTGTGAAATCTGAATGGAAATGATGTCATAATCGTAACTTAATCAATTTGAAAATGCAACTGTGTTAAATTAGAATTTTGAGGTATCCAACCATTTTTCTTGGGCTGTACAAAGCTGTACTTTCAAACTCCCACCCGAAGTGGGCGTTTGAAAGTACAGCTTTGCGTATTACATACGAAGTTAAAAAATTGATTATCATCAGGACATGATGAGACACCCATCTGGAAAAATCCTTGGTATTTCTCATTTCTTCCTCTAACGAAAATAGTTGATTTATCCTTAACACCAGGATCATTCCCAGAGATGCTCAGAATCGGCAAAGTAGTACCAATTCTTAAAAAAGAAAATTCAAGGCTCGTGAAGAATTATAGGCCCATTACAGTACCTCAGTTCCCCAGTTCAAGAGACCAATACGTTGCTCTTGATGACATAACATCCTCGGTACAGAAGGACACCATTGAAGTTCCCCAAGGGTCAGTTTTAGGACCGATTTTCTCCATTTTATACATGAATGATTTGGACAAACAACCAGTTCAGTCCTGCTTTACTATGTATGCTGATGACACTTCAGATGAATCTGATGAGTTACTAGTCCATAAGTCATTTAGAATGTTAGTGATTGGTTCAGAGCAAATCGCTTAAATTCAAACTTCGAGTAGACCAATTCACTTCGATTCCACAATCGTCAGAAACACAGTGAAAACAGAATCATTTCTAATCAATTTAATAAAAAATATCAACACTGACGCATCAGTCAAGTTCTTAGGTCTCCACGTGGATGAATGTCTTACGGCTCGAATATAATCTAACAGACTGATAACAGATTTCTACACATCTACTGCACATCTTGAGGTGGGGATTTCTCACCAGCAATGACTCAGTGTGGCAGCTGTACATGTAACTTCAATGCATTAACAAAGCTTTCTCTTGCAAATGAAACCAACATGGTATTTTTTTTTAAACGTTAAGCATTCCAAAAGTTACTGCTATCATCGTGGATGGACAAATAGACGAGCAACTCTGTTCCATTTGTGAACACACAAATTGTTGAGTTGAAAAACAGCTTAAGCTGAACTTCGCCTTTCATCATTATTTTTGTTTTTGTATATCATTATGTTGATGAATAAAGCCGATTATTATTATTATTATTTCTCACTGCACCTTTCTTCTTTGTGAGTAGTCGTGCTTTATTTTTGTTCTCTAACAATTATGCACGCTTCAATCGCACATTTTCATGAAATTGCATGCAGTGTCGTGGGTGGAAAACTTTAATTTTTGGAGAATAGAGAAATTACCGAGTTGGTTGCGTTTGACTTTGCCTCGAAGGCACATGTAGGAGTTCAATTTAATTGGGACACGTGTGATGTCGCTTCTGAATGGGGGTTTTTGTATATGAAAGCATGCTTAACAAGATTATGTTCATAAGTTTATCGAAAAATCTCCCGAAATACTCTATACGTATTTTTTGAAGAGTAAATCAGTTTTTTATGTATTTTTTCTGGGGATTCTCAAGCTTTTTACACCTCAATTACAACTCAATTTTTGAATCTATGATTTTTTCAAGTTTGCATCCTATTTTCACCCCCCCAGACGGACTGGAAAACTATGCCGTAAAGTTTTTTCTGTTTTTTCACACTTGAATGTAGTGATCAGTATTCCATTAAAACTACTGTATGGTGTGGGATACTTAACGACCAAATGATTGGGCCACTTTTCTTTAGGGAAAATTTATCATCCGTCGGTTATCTCAACCTTCTAAATGAGGTTAGTGAAGTTTTAGATAATATGCCTTTAAATATTAAATACGACATATGGTATCAGCTTGATGGCGCACCAATACATCACACGGTTGCTGTTAAACAGTCCCTCCAACAATTGTTCAGAGGCAAAGTTATTGGACGTAACTGGGAACATTATTGGCCACCTAGATCACCCGAGTTGGTGTCTTTAGACTTTTTCTTGTGGGGTTACCTGAAACAAAAAGTGTACCGAAGT